TACACACTCTACCTATGAGACCTGGACCTTGCTATTCTTCAACTCTCTATCTCTCCTCATTGTTACACGTTGACAAAGTGTCATCCCAAAACATATGTAACAAACACAAATTTTACTCATTTTCAAAAGTTCCATCTTTTTTTTAGTCTTGTGTATATTTGATCTGTGTTAAAAGCGTGCTCAGAGAGGATCGGTTTCCTTGGATTATATATCTATTTGATGTCTGCTTCTGGTTTATTGTTGTGGGAGTGATAATCCCCAACCAAGTTATTTAAGAAACTTTAAATTGCACTTATTTTGTTTAAGTTTGTTATATTGAAACATTCTGTAACATTATGTACAATTGCCCATTTCATGGCTCATTTGTTTCTATTAATTCAAGTGCTTCTAAGGTGACAGTCATCAATAAATGTGACTCCTCCATAAACTGGTCTTCCTAAGGATTGTAAACACTCCGTTTACCAAATTACAAAAATATCAGTTATTACTTTGACCCAGTCTTTTTGTTGTGAGTGTATTGTAAAAAGAGGAGTGGACAGATAGCCACTCATATGCATGTATTACTAGCCATACCCTTCATCACTCATGAATATTACACAAATATATAAATCACTTGCTATTGTATCATGGCTCCCACATATATTTCTCAATTTCTCTAATATGAGTGTCTAAAGCTCTTACAATCGAAGGAAGATTTTTTTTTGTTTGTTTTTTAGTACTGTTTTGATGTGTATATTACAAGCAGTGTGTCAGTTGAGGATTCTTGTCATAAATAACAAATCTCCCATGTCCTTTGTTTATACTTGATCTATTTTTCTGTATCTTCCAAATGTCAGACATTAGATATCTTCTACTTGTTTTTACCATTACCAAGAACATCAAATAAACTTTAATTGCAAAAAGATGAAGCAAATAATTGCTTTGTTCTTACCAGACACAAATGTCACAAGACTGTGGGTTAGGGTGAATCCACCTGTATTCCAAATTAATAATGGTTCGAAAATGTATACTACGGGTATAGAATCGGTAAAATGAAGACTACAGATGGCTGACTGTCACCTCTATTTCACAGTTCACAGACTTGGAAAAAAATAAATAAAAAAAAATAAAATTATATATATATATATATATATATATATATATATACATTTTTTTTAAATAAAAGAAGAAAATAAAAATAAAAGAAGAAACTCCCCACTTTGGCTATAATCACAGCTAGACTATTTTAATCTCAGCTTTCCCATTCAGATTTTAATTTGGTAATGTTTGTGATGGATAATAACCCTAAAAGAGAACTGTCTCACATACCTTTTAAAAATTGTCCCATTTTTTTTTTTTTAATCAGATTATCATTGTAAATCTCAGACTTTATTTTGACATGTGTATCAGTCCCAAAACTTATTTCACTATATATCATTTCTGATGGAAAGCCAATACATCCAACTTTATAGTTCTTTAAAAAGCTTAGCTTCAGTTATATTCACTTTCTAAAGTTTCTTTTCTAAAATTCTTCTGAGATATTTGTAAGGTCTGTGTTATGTCATTCTCCATTCCTCTTAGTTCCCACCTAAATTTGTTTTACTGCTGTCAGTCTTTCCTATAACACCCTATGTAAGTATGGAAACCTGCAATCTGTTTTTAAATCCATACATGTGCTAATTTTCTGGAGTTCACATATTATTTTACTTGGCTAAGTTCTGCCATAGTCGCTACGAGCAAGTAGGAGAACTGTCCACATGAAGGCATTTGGTTAATATTTGAGCCATTTAGGTTATCTATGTTTGTAGGGACTCTCCATACCCTTGCTAAAGCTTAATGTCATATTATTACAAATATTACATTTATTGGTGTTCTGTTTCCATTTTTTCCCTAGATTTAGAATTCAGACTAGACTCCTATTAGGCTGAGCACCCGCACCCATCCACTATGGGTGCCACTTTGGAGGTGACCACCGGAAAGCATACATTGATGAGAGTCTCTGGAAGCAGCTAAAGCTGTAAGTTTTGCAGTTGGCATATTAATCTCCCATCTTACAATTAGTGTTGGACCCACAGTTATTGGGGTACTGTAATGTAGGGGTTGGCTGAACACAAGATGGGCATAACTGAATCTCCATATTTGCTAGCTAAATAAGGGGATTTTAAGTAGCATTGAAAAATGCAGCATGCATCCAAGAGTCATAAATAACACGACATTTGACGTAGTAGTTGCATGTTAGTGTCAGGAGGGGGCTATGGCCCAACACGCAGAATCAAGTCAACTAGAAAAACGTATTACTGGTCCTTAGAATGGTCGGACTTAACATAGAAAGAATAGGCAGAAACAAGCCGAAGTCAGGGGCACAGACAGGAGCAAAAACGAGAAGACAAAGCCAAAGGGTCAGGGATACCAGGATCTGGCCATGATCCACCGCAATTTAGGTAAGTCTAGTTTATTTTCTAATCGGGTGTGGTCACGTGGTGTTGTGGACCGGGAGCCATGACAGTTAGCTATGGGTTGCACCTTGCTTGCTTCTGCAGGCTAACATTAAAACACACATCCATTGGCTGGTCTGTAATTTACAACATTCATTTAATTCTAAAATAGATATCCAACCCCAGTTGTTTAATAGTTGTTAAACTAAACTATCCATAGTCCTACGCTCGGTAACTTAGGTTGACCTATTCCACTCTGTTCCTGCTGACTAGGTAGAAGTTGCTCTAGAGATTCTCACATGCTGACCTGGCTATCGAGGACCTTCTGTTGTACCACCATGCCAAAATTAACAAACATGTTAATAACAAAACATAACTACTGAGAAAGATGGCATATGTTGCTTATAATGCTACTTATTCAATGTAGACAAACTCTTGGCCTAAGCAACAAAATTAATTTTGGTTCTTCCTTTGTTATAAAATTGTATTTGTTTTTTGTGCATTTCTAAATATCACACCTGCAAGACTTAATCATATAGATAAACAGGTGTACGCTTGCGCGTGTGTGTGTGTGTGTATGTATAATAACGAACATATCATCCAGCTGCAGAGAGATTCTACTTTACAGGACATGCTTGAATACGAGATATATCAATGCATTCTTCCTGGTACTTTGAAAAAAAAAAGAAATCAATTCTTTCTGGAGGGATATGTCAAGGGGCACCATGTGTTCCCTGGATATTTCTCCTTATTGCTTTATGGAACTTCTGCTTGAGATGAGCAATATGACTTTACCTCTGCTCTCAGTGTGCCTCACTGCTGTGCTTTCTGGTGGAGAATTGGAGAAGTTTGTGAAGGGGGAAGAAATAGAAGACCCCAAACCCAGGTCATAAGGGCCTCACTTTTTAAAGTAAATACCTTATTGCTTAAATGTATGACGTTATGAAAAATGTGCTATTCTTTAGAGAACATTTAAAACAAACAATTACATTTTAATGTGGTACAGCGTCAGTATAAAAACTGAAATGCAGAGCATTATTTTATTTGCTATATTATGTATCTTATATTAAATAATAAGATTATAGTTTGAATATAAATAAATGTGCATTTTCTCCCAAATTAAACCAAAGTGACATCAGTATATAACGCCCACTATGAAGTCAGCGTCAGGAGGAAATATTTGGCATAAAACAGCTTGCACCTGCAGTAAATAAAATAATTCTCTACTTATATCTTGCTTCTCCATAAGGCTTGTGGAAAAACCTGGAAGTTCACTAAAACATTATCTTTCCAAACTATTTATATAGCATGAGCATGTAATATGTCCTCATAGGCAAACAGTGGCTTTGAACACTGGCGAATAGGAGGTTTTGGCCACTATTAAGGTTAACAGTGATTGAGCTTGGCTAACACTTTCTATACCCAACTGCTTATTAAACCTGTGCATTTAGATTAATGCAAATTGTGATATGTCCAAATTCTGAGTGATAGGTGTTCGAATTCCGTAACTCCAAAACACTACGTGGATGAATCACAAAACATATAAAATGAACAATGGACAAAAAACATTTAATTTGAAGTTCTGTCCATTATGCCGATAAATAAATAAAAGAATATATGACTGATGGAGAAAAAAAAATAATTGAAGATTAGTGAACAGCAACTAAATGATTATTATATTCACAGATCAAGTGACAAGCAAAAAATAGAGGGGAAAAAAGTAGGAGTAGTAAAAATAAAGAAATACATTTTTTTATTTATATAGAATATATTTAATAAATATAGGATATGAAAATACAGTTGCAAGAAAAAGTATGTGAACCCTTTGGAATGATATGGATTTCTGCACAAATTGGTCATAAAATGTGATCTGATCATCATCTAAGTCACAACAATAGACAATCACAGTCTGCTTAAACTAATAACACACAAAGAATGAAATGTTGCCATGTTTTTATTGAACACACCATGCAAACATTCACAGTGCAGGTGGAAAGTATGTGAACCCCTAGACTAATAACATCTCCAAGAGCTAATTGGAGTGAGATGTCAGCCAACTGGAGTCCAATCAATGAGATGAGATTGGAGGTGTTGCCCTGCCCTATAAAAAACACACACCAGTTCTGGGTTTGCTTTTCACAAGAAGCATTGCCTGATGTGAAAGATGCCTCACACAAAAGAGCTCTCAGAAGACCTATGATTAAGAATTGTTGACTTGCATAAAGCTGGAAAGGGTAATAAAAGTATCTCCAAAAGCCTTGCTTATTATCAGTCCACGGTAAGACAAACTGTCTATAAATGGAGAAAGTTCAGCACTGCTGCTACTCTCCCTAGGAGTGGCTGTCCTGTAAAGATGAATGCAAGAGCACAGCACAGACTGCTCAATGAGGTGAGGAAGAATCCTAGAGTGTCAGCTAAAGACTTACAAAAGTCACTGGCAAATGCTAACATCCCTGTTAGCGAATCTACAATACGTAAAACAATACGTAAAACACTAAACAAGAATGGATTTCATGGGAGGATACCACAGAGGAAGCCACTGCTGTCCAAACAAAACATTGCTTCACGTTTACAGTTTGCACTAGAGCACCTGGATGTTCCACAGCAGTACTGGCAAAATATTCCGTGGACAGATGAAAGTTGAGTTGTTTGGAAGAAACACACAACACTATGTGTGGCGAAAAAAAGGCACAGCACACCAACATCAAGACCTCATTCCAACTATGAAGTATGGTGGTGGGGGCATCATGGTTTGGGGCTGCTTTGCTGCGTCAGGGCCTGCATGGATTGCTATCATCGAAGGAAAAATTAATTACCAAGTTTATCAAGACATTTTGCAGGAGAACTTAAGGCCATCTGTCTACCAGCTGAAGCTCAACAGAAGATGGGTGTTGCAACAGGACAATGACCCAAAGCATAGAAGTAAATCAACAACAGAATGGCTTAAACAGAAGAAAATACGCCTTCTGAAGTAGCCCGGTCAGAGTCCTGACCTCAACCCGATTGAGATGCTGTGGCATGACCTCAAGAAAGCGATTCACACCAGACATCCCAAGAATATTGCTGAACTGAAACAGTAATGTAAAGAGGAATGGTCAAGAATTAATCACGTGCACATCTGATCTGCAACTACAGGAAACGTTTGGTTGAAGTTATTGCTGCCAAAGGAGGTTCAACCACATACTTTTTTTACCTGCACTGTGAATGTTTACATGGTGTGTTCAATAAAAACATGGCAACATTTCATTTTTTGTGTGTTATTAGTTTACGCAGACTGTGATTGTCTATTGTTGTGACTTAGATGATGATCAGATCACATTTTATGACCAATTTGTGCAGAAATCCATATCATTCCAAAGGGTTCACATACTTATTCTTGCAACTGTATGTTTTTTACTGCTCCTCTTTATCCTTCTATATTGGTTATTTCTTCTCACTTGATCTGTGAACCAAATGGCGAGGAACTTGGCATATCAGTGAATTGCAAAATATATACACATAATATTTATATGTGTATACTTGGCAGTACACTGTTTAAATCAGTTTCAAGCCATTTGGGGTCATCTGATTAATATTTCCTAAAATATTTCTCATAAATGAAATATGTCCAAACTGAAATGCCACATGTACAAAACCTAACAAATTTATTGAGACAAACTGATTTTTATTCACAATGCACACATGTTCTGCTTACAACTTGAGCATACTGGCTGCACAAATATTGTGAATGTATTTGATAGTAAACTTTATCATTCTGACATCTTTGGCAGATATTGGTAATCTTATGGTTTTAGAAAGTTATCCATTTTTTGCATAGCCACTTTAATAGATTATAGAACAAAAAATTGAGGGACTTCATTTATAGCTAATTCTTGTAATATGCTGTAGTGTTATGTTGCTTGGCATGCCCATTTGAATTTCATAAACAATTATGTACATAAAGACACATAATTGTCACATAGATGCTAAATGTTTTATTAGATAAATTAAAGGAACACTATAGTCACCAAAACAACATTAGCTTCATTAAGTAGTTTTGGTGTATAGATCATGCCCTGTAGTCTCACCACTAAATTCTATGTCATTTAGGAGTTAAATCACTTTGTTTATGCAGCCCTAGTAACACCTCCCCGCATGTAACTTACACAGCCTTCCCAAACACTTCCTGTAAACAGTCATCAACTGTTTACACTTTATTACAAATTATGTTTCATTTATAATTTCTTATCTCCTGCTACACTCTGCAGGAGTTTCCTATATCTAATTAAAGTTCAATTTTTAGAGCAGGAGATACAATCTTTTAAAATAAGTTACATCTGACTGAAAATAAAAACATTTTGTTTTCATGCAGGCTGTGTGAGTCACAGCCAGGGGAAGTGTGTCTAGGACCAGGGCCGGACTGGGAACTAAAAGCAGCCCTGGAAACAAAATATTTACCAATCCAATAATGCTTTGCGCCAGCATAGTGTGCTGATGCAGAGTTAGAAAAGATAACTTAAAATGAAAAATTATTACTCCAACGTGATAAAAAGCACTTAGAGGCTTCGAAATAAACAAAAGTGCAGATTTATTTTAAGCAGACGTGCCTTTGCATGTAATCAATGTTTCAGTCCAACTACCTTGACATATTAAGGAAAGCTTGGTAATGGGACTGAAATGGTGAATGTATGTAGGGCACAACTGTAAAAAGGGACGTTATCTTGTTTATTTTGAAGTCCTGTGGGTGCGCTCTTCACTTTAAATATGTTATTGTGATGGAGTCTGCATCTAGCAACAAGACTGGACCAATATCTGCTCATTACAAATTGTACATATTAATGACATTTATCTGTGTATTATGAATACATAAATGTACATTAATATATGTGTAAATATTATAGGCATAATTATACATATAAAACTAATACACACATTAATATATATATAGCCCCTATGTGTGTCTCTTTCTACCTCCAGCCCCTCTGTGTGCCTCTTTGTCTCCCCCAGTCCCCCTGTATGTTTCTTTCTTCCCATCACTGCTCCTGTGTCCATGTCTCCCTCTCCTTCCCCGTCTCTCTCTTCCCACTCTCTCTTTTCCCCTCCCCCTGTGTCTCTCTCTCTCCCCCATTTCTTTCTCACTCTCCCCGTGTGTCTCTCTCCTCCCCTCTCTTTCTCCCCCTTTCTCTGTGTGTCTCTCTCCCCCACATGTCTCTTCCCCCATCTCTTTCTCTCCCTCCACTATTCCCCCTCTTTCTCTGCCTGTGTCTCACTCTCCCCCTCTGTCTCTTTCCTTCCCCTCCCCCTGTGTCTCTCTCTATTCTCCCACTGTCTCTTTCTTCCCTTTTTCCCTTTGTTGCTCTATTCCTCCTCTCTGTCTCTTCCCTCCCCCGCCCTCATTGTGTCTCTATTCCCTTTCTGTCTGTTTCTTCCCCTTCCCATTTACCAAAAGAAGTCAGAGGGGGACGGCTAGCCAGTCCAGCAGCATACTCACTGATGCTGAAAGCAGTGAGCTGTCAGCATGGGAGGACTGAAGGAGGGAGCATGTCTCTCTCAGTTCCCACAATTCCCAGCACAGCTTGCTCCCTTTTTCAGTCCTCCTATGCTGACAGCTCACTGCGGTCAGCATTAATGAGTGTGCTGCAGGACCGGCTAGGTGGCCACCTGGCTTGGCGGCACCAGCTTGGAACGCGGCCGGCTGCCTCAGAGTGTGCCACCAGACCGGTCACCTGGTGGCACCTACATGCACAGCCACCATGTGCCGCAGCTCACTGGGAAATTCCCGGTTGGCCAGTCCGGCCCTGGCTAGGGCTGCATAAACAGAAACAAAAGTGATTTAAACACTGCATGGCAGATAATTAAGCGGTTAAACTTCAGAGGCATGATCTACATACCAAAACTGCTTTATTAAGCCAATGTTGTTTTTGTGACTATAGTCCCTTTAAGCATATCATCACTTAGCAAAACCATTAATATTATATGATTTTTCGAATATGAGTTTCTAGTAGTCAATAAATGTCTTTTAAAAACAACATATATCATAAGAGCTGAGCATTAATCCCACACAATGCCCATTACAGCAGGCAATATGCATAGAATCGTACTCTAATAATATTTCAAGCGACAATAAATCTAAATAGAGGTAATTGAGAAACAGACTGAAACTTAATTATGCTATTTTTTATTTTATTTTTTTTTTACATTTATTTTCCAGAAATTGTATCATTTGGTTAAAAATAAAAATATATTTTGTTACATTTATGGAGCTAAACAGTAGATAAGTGCAGTTTACAAATTCAAAATATAAAATATACTCACATTTATGTTTTAGTGTGTTGATTTTGGTTTATATAAAATATAGAATATTGTCTCAGCTTGACCCTCAGAATTTGTCCGTCAAACAGCAAGACTGAGAATAAAATAACAATGGAAAGAAAAGTGCAAACTATGAAAATAAATGTTATGTGGCACTAAAGAAAGAAGTAAAAACATCCCCCTGTTAAATGAAGTCCTCAGAATCGCTATGAAGTTTAAATAAAAAAAATAAAAATTAAATAATATGACAAGGAAATGTTAAATATAACTATAAAATGAGATCTTGAAAACTGTAGTTGGTTACTCATGTGGTAACTCATGGTTTTGACAGGATTCCTAATTAGGTACACTGTGTTAGCTTGGTGACCTCATTCTTTAGCCGTAAAATAACCTCAGTGACCCATTCTGTGATAATACTATAATACACACTAAAACACATTCTGCAAAATTCATTTATTACACTCATTAGACTCTTCCTAGTGTTAAAGGTGCTTCCACTGCACTGACCTTTTTTATTTGTTTTAAATTCAAGGGACGAGTCAATTAAGTGCAAAATCTCAACTAGAGCCCATGTCATGGTTCAGATCTTTGGCTGATCAAAAAGTAAAAAAATAGGACACTTCTCGTGGCCATGAAGATACACAGGGGAAACTGAACCATAGCTTGCAACAAAGAAGTAGCAGAACTAGTTTCATGAACCACTGCAGTTTCCTAAACACTGCCTTTCAGGGAAAAGGCAGTGTTTACATTACTGCCTAGGGACATCTCCAGTGGCAGTCACTGAAATGGCCACTAGAGGTACTTCCTGGGGCAGTGCTGCACAACTGGCAGAACCAGAACGGCACTGGAATAAAGGGGAGTTGTTAACCTATTTAAGAGGGGTAAGGAGGGGGCGGGGGGCTAAATAGTGTTTTTAACACTATAGGGTCTGGAATACATGTCTGTATTCCTAACCCTATTGTATTTCTTTAACAACAAAAAGATTGTCTAATCAGGAATTAGCCACAGAAGGCACTGCCCTCAAATTAATTGCGCTTTGGCCCAAGGTTCCGGACTTTTTCTTTGGTTTGGTGCCACAAGTAGTACCTAGATCATGCATATTGCTTGACTGTGATTTTTGCCTGAACCTCAATCACCGTTTAAGATCTTTGACCATTTATGTGGATTTTGTATTTAAATTCTAAACCAATGGATTGTGTATTTTAATATTTTAATTCTATCCCCTTTAAAGATTGTTACCTCCTGAAAGAATTGCACATATTTTCCCTCATCCCTAAACATTTGCCTTAAAGCTGAAAGCTATAGGGTTTTATTATTACAACTAGTCTGAGCCTGTATCTGCTCCCCTGCAGATACCCCTGTGGACAATATTTTTAGTATCATATCCTTTGTTAACAGAAGAACTCCCAACACTCCAAGATTGCCATGATAAGTTAAACAATTCCGGTTTCTTCCTGCCTTGAAAGAAGCAGCTTCCTTTATTAGTACCTCGAATCTACCTATGATGTTGCCTTCCAGATTTGCGGGAAAAATCTTCTATTGAATTTTTTTT